TGATTGTCTTGGATAAATCATAACCAGTTCAGTTCACTCCCTCTACCACACCTGAATGAACTAACTAGCATATTAGCTGAGTGGTTAGCATGGCTCATACAGCCCTGTAGCACTGCCCATTAAACAAGCTATTAACGCGGTTCACCAACCTCAGCAGTCTTACCTTGAACCTGGAGTTCCTGTAGCCTGGTTCTGTTCTGAAGAATCCGGCCAAATATTACTTCTTTGGGGCCATGTTTCCAAACTTGCTGTCCCAAGTTAGCACTGGCTAATTTTGTGGCACAGGTGAGTTGTTAGCATGAGATGCTAAAAACGCTAACAGGGCTGTAAACTCCACAACTAGAGAATATCTTCACTTCTCCCGCAGAAGTTTCAGCCCAGTCCTCCTCCTCAGAGTCTGTCCTCCTCCTCAGAGTCTGTCCTCCTCCTCAGAGACTGTCCTCTCCCCCTCCACCATGTCTGGTTTCTTTTTGTCCTTCTGTTTTATAGCTACACTCCACCAGCTCAGCTTAGGAGCCTGTCATCTGAAGTCTGTGTGACCACCAGGGTCTGCTAGCACCTGAGAAACCATGTGGTACAATCTGACAGCATGATGATGATGATGATGATCATTATTATATAAAGTAGACCACAAAGTATAAGTTCATAGATCAGGGAGTAGAATTTAACTATATCATAAATAGCAGTGTAAAGAAAAAAAATGGTTTTGGCATCTTATTTTGCCATTTTATTATTTATTTTGTAAATAGCCTCTACTTAATATCTTTTTTTATTACACTGTTTTTATTTAGGTGTCAAAAACACAATGCTAAATCTCACAAGAAGGAGGTACAGTGTGGAGGAGTAACAGTAAGATGAAAAAGAAAATTGTCCATTTGGTGGCACATGGATTCAGCTGCGCCACCTCAGATTACAACTGCTGTGTTATTTACTGTTCAGAAACTCTCCTCCATTTTCTGAACAACACATCAGGCTTTCCTTGCCAGCATTACCCTCTACACTTTTATCAAGATGAATCACGTTTTCATGTTGTCAGTTAAGTCAGTTGCGTATATCTTAGACGTGCTTCCATTCTGTATGGTACCAAGTATTTGATCATTCTAATTCTACGCACTATCCATGCAAATTAAAAAACCTATACAGCATAAGGCTCCAATCTAATAGCGAAGCATGGGTAGTGATTTTCTATTCCTTATCTACTTTACCCTTCATACACTCTTTTCTTCCACTTCTCCTTTTCCCATTTCTCTGTTTTCCTCCCATAATTGTTTAAACCCAGGAAACTGGATTACTGGGAATATAACTCCAATCTATTTCCTGGTAAAATAAATTACAGGGAAGTGGGAGACAAACAGATACGTTCTAAGCTTAAACCAAATAGGTTGATGCATATAAAGTATAGACTTCCTTTACTAAATCCTTCAACATGGATGCAATGGCTAGAGGGACTGATTCAAAACTGTTAACCATGTATTTCACATACAGTCTGTGAGAATGTGTATCCTTCAAATGCAAAAGTTGAACAGTAATTTCCATTTATTGGCCAAGGGGAGGAAAGGAAATATCCAGCTACTATAGTCAAAAGATAACTAAAACCCATGTTACCATGTTCCCCATCTCGTAACAATTAACCTTAAAGTAATATTGTCCTTATATGATAATTTTATGATAATGACACCCTCACCACTGTTTTATTATTACATTAAGTATGTGATGTTCTGATGACAGTTCTGTGATAGTGAATACTACATCATGGCATACCTTAAATCCAACCATTTCAAATTAAAATCATCATTTGAATTTCCAACCAGGCAATCATAATGAATCTACAAGGCAAATGTGTCTGAAGAAAAAAATAAAAGGCATCTGCCCAAACCCATCTCTCTTGGTTGGTTGCTTGACATTTGTTCAAACCATGGAAATTCAGATAAATGTCACTCACAAAGATGAAATCCCTTGAAGTCTTTCATCTTACAGGAACTTTACTAAATAAATACTGTGCTTATGACAGCATCACTTGCGGACTAAATGCCACTCAATTCAAACCTTAGTGTTTTTCCCAATTTTTGCTTCTCCGTCAAAGTGCTCCATTTGGTTTAATAGCAAAGTCGGAGCCGCATTACAATAGGAGTTGGTTGTTGGTTCAGAGGCTTTGTGTGTGTGTGTGTGTGTGTGTGTGTGTGTGTGTGCCTTCAAACTGATGAGGAAAAAAACAAATGCTTTTCAACCAAAAGAGAAAATGACAAAAGTAATGGGTGTGCACCTGTGTTTGGTGGATGTGTGAGACTACCAACTGTTTACAGTTGTATGTGTGAGTGTTTGTGTACCTCAACAATCCTTTGCAAGCATCCATGCCTGGCTGTTATTTTATACATGCCACTTTCTCCACATGTTCCTTTATTTCGCTGTGAGTCTGACCACACACACTCTCTCTCTCTCTCTCACTCTAGTGACAGAGGAATATCAGAACTACTTATTCAGTGATAAAAACTGAGCCAGAGCAAACCCAGTAATTGAACTCCAGCGGGCGAAGCTTGGAAGCACAGTGCAGTATCCAGGGTTTGAAGAAAAAAAAAGATGATTCACCTTAAAGACACATGCATACATGTACTTATACAAGCTCACAGCAAATATATTGGAATGCACACAAAAAGACACTCGGACAAGAACAACTTACCACTCACACAACAAAACTGCAATCTTAAGTTTTCACTTTCCTATTCAGCCACATTTAAAGGATGATGAAGATCAGATTATGAAGCTGTTGCATAAGCAAATTAACTTTGAAATAATTGACTTTCACAGTCTACCTCCTGAAGCTCCACTGAATAAATCAGAGTTCTCTCTCTCCCTCTCTCCCTCTCTTTGGATGGATTCAGGAAATACACAAGAAGGAAAACAGAGTGATCAGCTATCAGCTGGACTGCAGCACTGCAGAGGACTCACACACATTCACAAACACACACACACACACACACACACACACACACACACACACACACACAGAGCAAAACAGTTCTCACTCAGTGCTACACATTTGCAGCAAGCTCATAAGAAATCAAACAAGTAATAGATTATAACAATAGAATAGTATGAGATGTCCACTCAGTCCCTAGTTTCACTTTGTCCTCTATTCAGCTCATGTTTAACTCTTGTCTACTTGTGCACATGTATATCTTTTCACTGACCTGAATATATTGTATGTACACATTGACTCTGACTTATTTCATCTGTAAGTCAATTCTTCGGTTTCTTGCAGAAGGACAAAAAGTGAAGAGTTGGTTTGTTAGGGTGTTAGGAATCAGGAGAGGGGGCGCTCTCAAAGGAGAGGAGTCATCAAGAGGTTCCTGGAGCTAGAGCGGGCGCCCCGCTCTCCTACTCTGATAATGACGGTAGCTCGTCCCACCATCAGGCAACCACAGAACAGGAAATTATTTGTTTAGGATCAGTTTTTATTTACACACATCACTCAAACAATGTCGGCACTGCTGTCAGGGGCAATTTGGGTTTCAGTTTCTTGCCCATGGACACTTCGGCACAAGGGTGACTGGGGTCGAACTGCCAACCCTCTTGTCAGTGGATGACCCGCTCTACCCGCTGAGCCACAGCCACCCTCTATTCCACTTTATTTTCCATTTGAGTTGTGTTTGTCTTTAAGCATGCAGACCAGGTGTCACTCACAGTGGGTGTCAAAGTGATATAAGAGATCTAAATGGAAAATGTAATTACTGATGTAATGACCTCTCCTAAAGTCACCAGGCTGGCTTCACATCCTGGTGCAAATATCTGGACAAATGGATAAGAACATTTCAAGGGACCCAACACACTGGAGGGAAATCGTATGCATTTATTCATTTTTCTTTCTAGAGTAGAGAAGCCATAATACTATATGTAATGTCTGATTGGTTGGTTTTGTGCAGTTTACTATTTTAACTACCTTCCAAGGAGATTATGTTAGTTGGTTTGTAAGCAAGATTACACACACACAAAAAAAGGATTTCCATGCAACACTGGAAGTGATACATTTTGGTGCGGATCCAGGAATTATTTTTCACTTTCTTTAACATTGCAAGGGAATATTTTTAACATTTTTTGAGAGAATAATTTATGGATCTTGAAGGAAAAAAAAGTCACATTAAGGGAACTGATATCTATGAGTGTGTGAAACTTTGTGCAACTTCATTGGATTTGAGGGGACACTTGTGATTGTTAGTGAGTTATTGGTGTGAGTTATCTGCTGCTCTCTGGTACTGCATATTATTATTTTCTTAGTCACCTCATTAGTCTATTTCAGTCCTAGTCTGCATCATCTTGTCTTCATTATGGTGGAAGTGAAAAATAAATCCCGGCTGCAATATGACCAACAGTTCAGAGATGTGAAGACAGGAATGTGGAAGATGGAAGAAGAGAAGTGAAAGAAGAGAAAAAAGAACTAAGGAAATCTCATTTATCAAAGAAGAGTTAAGTTTTCTTTTTTCCTTTTTAATCTTCAGCCTTTCAGCTACCCTGTATTTATTCTTTCTTCCTCTCTCCACTTGGGACCCAGTAGCAACTGAATCCAAATTCTCCACACACATACTCTCACATACAGTGACATGTTACATGCCAATTGGTGCAAAACATAATCTTCTTCCAATCATCCATAGTCCACTTCAATCTTAACCCACCCCCCACACCAATACATAACAACTTGAGATGTGATTATCTGGAGACTTAACTCTGTTGCTGAAACCCCATTGATCTATTCCCCAAGATGTGTGTGTGTGTGTGTGTGTGTGTGTGCAAAATGATAAAAGGAAGGAAAGACCTGCTCTGTATGTTGACTCTCATCATGAGAGTTGCCTCAAAGCTTCATCAATGAAATGTGTTTGCTGTCTTCATAAATCAAAGTCAGATGCATAAAAGGTCAACAACTACAAGCATGTTCTCTCTCACTCTCTCCCTTTATCTCTTTCTCACACAAATACACACACACATGGATACAGAGGATACAGACTGCATGGCCATATATCAATTATGCTCAGTGTGGGACAAGTAATTAAAGATAGATTTGTATTAAGTAGCATATTCTGTATTAAATATAAATACTACTGAAATTACCATGATATATATTCGTCCTCCTTCGGTAGGGACCAGCTGCCTACATCATCTCCAGACACTTGCATCACTGATGGCAAAGATATGACAGTGATAACACCTGTCTTATATAATTC